AACAATAACAGTTATAAAAACTTGGCCATTAATGAAAGTCTTTCAGAAAGGTGTGGAAACACACATTTTTCACAGGACATGTTTCAGAAGAAACAAATAGCAATTTCCTGTTTACCAATTTTATTTATATACTTATAACCTTTGTATAAATAACCACGTGTCTTGAATTTAAATCACAATAACATTAGTAGGGGTGATATCTATCATGACCAGTGTTGGAAGAGGTAATATAGTATTTAACAAAAATCTTTTTTCAATGCGTACTAGCAAGAATTTAATCAATGAAATTGACATCCTTAGGATTGACTGCATTTCTATCTATTCAAGACGACAAAGCATTAAAATTTAAAAGGGTCAACCTTTTTTCTAATAAATGTGTTCTACAAATAGTGCGTTGGTATTGCTGGCAATAACGTAAAACTTATTGTCAACATGCCTTAGTCGAGTAAAATACATTCACTGTCCTTCATTGTCTATGAATGCTTCAGCATTCATCTTGACAATTAACATTTTTCAGATAATTTTCTCTCTACAAGTTGGCAATTTTCCAACACCTAAAATGGCATCCCAGAGGTATTGGTTTGATTGACAATTTCCTGAATTGTTAAAAAAAACCTAACACAACTTGTTATGGAAATGATGCCTCCCGAACCCGAGTCATCATTGTCATATTAGGCACCTGTTTAAAGCGCCTCGCCCATTGACAATTACTGGTGCTATTTTTCACAATTATATATGAAAGTCATGGGTCTGTACACTCTCCTTTCTCAAACAGAAAATAAAAACCTCAACAACATTGGGCTCAAAAACCAATGATCACGATTGAAAAACCTTCGAATCCAAAAATAAAGAATTCATATTTATTGGATACAGTTAGATACATGTTCATAACCTGATAAACTTCAGATTTCTCCCAATATATTTTTTGTCTATTTCCGACGACTCTATTGATGTGTTTTAGTGTCTCGAGGTATTTTTTTATGATTGAAATATATAGAGATAACGAACAGTACTTAAGCTTATTGGAGCAGAGCAATAACAGACCTCCAAATCATCAGAGGTGGGATCAGGTGCCATGGAAGAGTCTGAATCCCCTGCCGACGATCACACCCGCTGCCGACCGATCACACCCGCAGTGTGCATTCTCCTTGTCAGGGTCGTGAAAAAACGGAAAAATCCTTTTAAAAGTTAAAACTTCAAATTTTTTGGCGGGTTTGATTGACACATCCTTGCACTTTCACAAATTTTAACAATTCTGCGTGTAAGTAATGGCCTTTCAATAAGTATACGTGAAATACCAGTTTTTTGAACAGGACACGAATTCTGTTATTGTTGAGCAATGGACTTTATGAACTAACAATATATAACATGGGTAATATATGTACTTTTCCTAAGGATTAAGAATAGAATTAATTTGTGAAAGAGCAAGGATGTATCAATCAAACCCGCCAAAAAAATTGAAATATTAATATTTTTTATATGAAATAAGATTTTTAATCAATTTTTGTGTGATATATGAAGACTTTAAACGAGACTGCTGATATTCTTGTTCCATCAAAAGGTTTGTCAATAATTACCTCGTTTTAGAAATTGTTCATACGTAGAACATGCACTTGCGTATCAAATAAAATGAGAGATATAAACCCAGTATGCAAGTGATGAAGGTATATCGCTACAAAAATTAGGGATAGATACATTGTTGTTTTACGCCGAGTCGGCAATATTTCAGCCATATTTCGGCGAGTAAGTAAGATACGGAACTTGACGATTGAAACGTTAAGGACATTACCTTTAACACAGAGCTTGGTTGTTAGATTAACATAAACGCCCTTTTAAAATAAAATTAAAATTGAGAAAATCCAAATCGGAGCATTCCCTCATCAAGAGCATATCTATAAATCAAGCCAGCATGTGACATCGATCCCAGTGCAAATGACGTCACTTCCATTTTGTACAGGATTAACTCACTCAACCCAAACAAACACACAAACTCACAAATGCGTAACTATAATACCATCTACTCCTTTGCAAAAAGGATAACAAGGACACCCGCAAAGCGGATCATCCCCTCAAAGTAATATTCAATTCTTCAAATGTTAAAACGCACCACTGTGTGCAGATTTATGAAGGGAACTTTTAACCAAGATCATTTATTGTTTAAAAGAATTCTCAAATTAATATTAAATTAAATAATTAACTTAAAAATTAAATATGAAATTTCAGAACTTTGCAAAAAACATGCATGGACAGACGCTTACTGATACCCATGGGTTACCCCGTCTTTTGATTCATCATCCATAGGTGTAAGATTTTAAGTCTAAGCCTTTAGCGCTGGTAATCGTTAAGGTATCACACCAGTAATTGACCAATCAAAATGAATTTAATTGTATTTCAAGACATAAGAATGTGAGAATTTTTTATTTTTTTTTTTTATTTTCTCCAAATGCTAAATTTCTTTTTTTTTTCTTTTTTTTTTTAACAGTTTTGGTATCTGTTCTTGGAAATTCCATGTACCCCAGTACATCGTAATCGTAAATTGTTGGAGGATTTTGGCAGGATCGATTTCTTTCAGAGCATAGATCGAAGTCTTTTTGGGATGCGTACACGATCTTTACATGCGTTTTTATTGCTATTTTGCTTGTAGATGGAAACAAAAATCAGAAAATGTCTTCTTTTGTTGTCAACTCATATGTTGGGTAATGTTCAACGCTTTCAGCTGAATATTTTTTCATGAATTCAAATACCTGAATTTCATTTTTTAAAAAAATTCTATTTAGGACTTTATAGTGACAATTACTAGTACTGTGCGGTACCTTGAAAGATGATACTTGAAAATATTGAACTCTAAGTATGCAGGTCGGTGATTTTCGCCATCTTGGTTGACATTCTTATACAATGTTATCTTGGAACACTAAATCCAGACATTTCTCTGATGTATAACTCGTCTTATCATTGGCCTTAATTACTTTTTATTGCGTGCTTAGTGCGAGTAACTCACCATTTAATTGTTATTAGAGAAGTAATTTTTTCCTGAACATCTTGATTCCTGGCTTGTGATATCACACGCACCTGTTTGACATTGTTATGTGACATTTCATTATTCTCTTTGCACGAGAACAAACAGTAAAAGCAATCAACCTGTATTTAATCTATTTTCGACAAATGTGATTTATTTCTCTATTTTCAAGTACAATAGATGATGGCCTTGCTATTTCGAGGTGCTGGATAGGGGAGAACATTATTTAACGACCTAATTTAGGAACAATCTGCAACAAAAAATATCATTATTACATATATGCTTTCGGGTACAGTTCTTTTGACAGGTGATCCTATTTTCTGAGAGAGGAATGGTTACTAAAACCAAATTAATGTCACTTATACATATCAAAACATTTAAAAAGATTTAGTATAAGAAGTTACTTTATCTGCATGTTGAAATACTGAACAAGTACGAGAACAAAAGGTTTATGGACCACAATGCTCACTGTTGTAACTATGGCTCTTCTTGTTCTTCATCAGCGGACTCTTTCTCATACACTTGTTTACCCAGTTATAGCCTTACCTACCCACGGGGCTTACGATTTGAAACCTAAATCAACGCTATTTGAGGATGCTTCATATGACTTATCACGACTTAACTGTTCCTGGGAAAAGATTTTTCACGATTTTTTCTATGTAATCGCTATGAAAAACTATGATGACCAATGTGGCGTCACCCTTTCCTTGGTCATAAATCATATGAAGAAAACGAACAGTATTCAAGATCAAAAGTCAATAAAACAAAACAAAATAGTAACAGAGCTAACACGGACCTCCAAAACATCAGAGGTGCGATCAGGTGCCATGGAGTAGTGAGCATCCCCTGTCGACCGCCACACCCGCCGTGTGCTCCTTGCCATGATCCGGAAATAAGGGAAAAATCCGTCGTCAATTCAGTGTATAATTAACGGACTAACAATTAGTATGAAAAACGTTAGTCATCCGAATGGATTTTTTTTCAGATTTCTAGTAGATATACCAAAAAAAAATTCATTCCTATCATAACCTCTCCCTAACACAGAAGTTCATGATTTAAACAAACTTGAATCTACACTACTTGAGGATGCTTCCATATAAATATGATTCATCAAGGTTGTTTATTCTTGAGAAAAAATTTTTAAAAGATATTTCCTTTTACTACCTTGTCGCAAATTGTGGTTGATTTGAACAAACTTTTGTCTACACAATCTTAAAGATGCATAGACACAGATTTGAAGTTAATATTTTCTCAATTTTTCTGTATAATATTAAGAATTATATATTGCAATAATATTTCATATGAAAATATAATCAATATCTTTTTCATCTCGAAGTTATTCAAACTTCGATTTTCTGGAGGGATTTGATATAATTTCACAACTTATAATTTTATTCTTAATACTTAAGAAAAGTGGCAATTTTGTTGTGTATTAATGAAAAATATTAAAACTATAATACAGAAAATTCAGAGTAGAAATGTTCGAAAGTAAAACCCCCTCACTGGTATCGTCAGTTCGTGCTCAGTGTTCTGTACAAAATGAATTATTTTTAACTTTATTCAATTAATGATAAACATGAAATATATCTTTATAATTTATATTTTATCGGCTTCATATAAGTTCGAACCAGTTTTGCATCGTACAAAAATATAACTTCGTTTGATTATAGATAATGCAATGTCAATCAGTATCATAGCTGAATAATTAACTCTGGAATCATCAAACTCTTTGTTCTTATACGGTGAAGAATTATGTAACGTTATTTTTTCAAGTTTCTGTAACAGAGAAGCGAGGCATCGCTGCAATGACCAAGAGATACAGGGAGTTCAGTAATCCCGGAAATGAGGCCGGATATCAGGAAAAGGGCGCGTTCTGATCTACAAAGAACTTACAAGTCTCAGGTATGTGGTAATGGCGCTATAGACCGAGACAATCAATGCACCAGGACTCCTCATTATGATCACAGCACAGATAACTCACATATTTACAATCAGTAACGTGGTTTAATGACATTACAGAAATGCAATGTGACAGTGGAATTCTGCATCGCACATGATAAACAATAAAGACATGGTAAACTAAGTCACGTGACACCTGTTACATCAGATCCGAATCTCTTTGACAAGATTAGATTTGGATTTTCATTCCAGGTGAATGATTGAGTCCCAGAAAAACCCGTCCTCGCTCCACATCCGACTAGCTTACTAATTATTCATAAAACATCAATGGCATCCAAAAATATAATTCCTCTGACACACATATTTTGATTGGTTATCTCACATTCATAACATTTTCTATTTAAAAACACTGCATTGATTGTTCAATAAACAAACTTATATTCGAAATTAAGTTAAGGTTATATAAAATTCACAGTACTTATATTCATTACATTAGTTATATACTATACTAAAAATAGTACAAAATACATGTACCAATATAAATAAATGTCAGCAAACACAGCACCTGATATAAAATAAATACCGGTAAGCAAATTCAAAAAAAAGACGTAAACTAGCCGAACACGTGCGAGGAGAATTAACCTCAGCAGCCCGTGACCGTGGGGTCAAGTCCTGACCTCTTAGTGATATGAAGCTTGACGATTTCCTCTGCTGACGTAGGATGTATTCCTACGCTTCCAGATATACCACTCCAAGTCGCTCCGCATCTTGAAAAAATTGGTTTTGTTTAATTAAATCTTATAAATCATAAGAATGTTAGTGTAATTCACTATATATTTAATGATAATCACGAGCCCAAAAGTATCTGATGAGACTTTATCTCTCCTGCGTGGTTTCATTTCATAATACTCGAAGTAGTCAACTTCTATACCTAAATTCATTGAAACCGAACCAAAACTGTAGCAAGAGATCCATTTTTAAAAACAATGCACATTTCATTCTTACTTCAGTAACAAATTCCAAAACGTTCTTTGTAATCAAACACAAGTATTCAAATATTAGGACGCTCACTTTGACGGATGTTATATTTGCAGTAAAACGTGTCTTATCCGGCCACCACAGGTTCCAAAGAAAATGGCTGGATAAGACAACATACCGGATTAGACATTTTTAACAACCAAAATTACTGAAAGAGGCTTGATGTTAACATCGTTTTAGACAATATTTCAAAATACACAACATCCAGATTAAGCAAATTCTCACTGTATATACGTAAGTAAACTAGATCTTATTATTTGTTTTCTAGTTACTGATCCCAAGATCTATACCAACTGTTTCTTTGGTTTGAATAGGATTTATATTAAAATGAAACTGAGAATAGACATGGTCCAAAAACTTCAATTCTCTAATGTGGCTCAGATTAAGCATTTGTAGCAAGTGTGGTAGTCCCCATCATTGTATGCACAATTCATATACACTACTCCTGATGGGGCTTATAGTTATCTAGCAATGTTACTACTTCGAAAAATTTATGTTGACCACTCAGCCGAAAAATGAAATTCAGGATCCAACATCCGAAGCAAGTCTGATGCTTCCACCCATATAGATGCATTTCAATGCACTGATCTGGGTAGGCTAATAATTATTTGGAAATGAATCTGCTCATAAACTATCACAGAGACGCCAATGCATGAGGAGTAAGATTTCACTGATCTAAACTAAAAACCCAAAACTAAAATTACGAATTTTAATGTTCCTAAAATCGGATGAAATTTGTAGAACAAATAGCATTTGTTCAAAATGTCAGATGGAAGTGCATGTAAAAAGGAATTATGATCATTTTCAGAAATAAAGTAATACAATTCAATTATTAAGTATCCAAATTTCTTGATTTCTTGGTTTTAGAAGTAAGCTCACAAAGACGTAAAGAACAGCAGTTTGAAAGATTTTGATATTTTTTTAAGTTTTACTGAACTGTAAAAAGGAAATATATATACATTGACAAAACAACTAGGCAGACAGAAAAATGATGGAAACCTTGCAAAAGTTCTACTTGTCTCAGCCCATTTGAGTATAAAAGTTATATTCATAGCTAAGAAATCAACAGAATATTCAAACCAAACCAAAATTCATGTCGTTAGTCTGGTTATGAAAGCTAATAATATCTTTGGTTACTCAGCTCTGAATTAACATAGTAATCATCTGTAATTCGCCAAAATTTATGAGAACATAGATACCCAAAAAAAGCCGTGTTAGATAAAACATATTTTTGTATCTATATAGAGCATCTGTGTTTCTGGTTTAGTTACCTTAAAGCCACTGCGAATCCCTGAATAACTTCACCGGCATTCGGACCAATCAGATGAAGTCCTAACACCCGGTCACCAAAACAAACGACCTGTAATTCAATAAATTGCAACCGTTTTCTTTAGAAATTACAAAAAAGTACAAAGGAATGACGACAGAAATTGCACCTTTAAAAAAATACAAAATATAAATAAATCGTCATTAGAAAATCTAGCCATAAGAAACGGAGTGACATCATCAATGCTAGGGGTAATTCTTATAAGACGGAATATAAAAAACAGAAAAAGTCAAAGGTTGTTGTAAAAAACACATAAGTCTGTAATTATTCTCATTAAAGGCGGCGGAATGGTCTTATTACGAAGCCATGTACATTATTCATACTAATTGTTATGTTAAACAGAATTTCATTAAACTATATACATTACTCATTCTTCTTATGCACTATTCAGCTTCAAAATTAATAGATAGCAAAAAGGAGTACAAAAAGCTATAATTCAGACAGGGAGTTAATTAAGTAAACAAAAGAGATAGATATAGAGATACACAGAAAGTGTAATATTACATTAATAAGATCTAGCTGCTGACAGCAGCACGCCTTGTGCGGGTTTACTAGTCTGCCGCATCAACCACAATCATCGTATGATTAACACTAATGCGGTGTCGACACGGTTCGTAACCTCGCTTCCCCACCTCACTCTGAATCGTTATCTACCTTAGAGATCACATCAGCAGTTTTAAATTGATGCGCTTCTTGAAGCAGGTTCATTTAGTGTTTTCAACTTAACACATATCATTCATGTTTTGGCTTCAAATACAGAATGACACAGACTTCCAAACTTGAAACAGATGGCCTATCTCTAATAAACGTTCAGCGAAGAACTGCTCTAATTATCATGTCAATGTTTTACCAAGCTTCTGAAATATCAAACAGGTTGTTACAGCTGCAGGTGGCAAATTTTTCTACAGATTTTAACATTAAAAGAAAGGGTCTTTTTTATTCGCTTAATAACCTCAAGGTTAGACTGCGGTGCTTCCCAGGAAAAACCACCGATATGACTGACATCACTGATTTCAGTCATAAAGGACCAAACCACATGGGACAAATTTGAGAGAGACCGTTCGTAACGAACCCAGCAACCATGTACGACAGTCTGACATAAACGGTGCATACATCATACTTTAGACTCTGTATGTGGCACACCTTTCTGTTTTAAATTAAAGAAATAATATTGCAATAAATCCATTAATCAAAGACTAAAGAACCATCTAAACATTATATCTTTAACAATAGATAAAAATCCCTTTTAAATCAAAGACAACATTCGATGATCAAAGGTATACAAAATCTGTTTTATTTCGAATCGCTTTAGGTTTGTAAGTTTTTAAAACTAGTGTTTTGCAAAGTACAATGTGCTCTTCAAACATAAATAAAAGAGACTAATTTTATCTGGATTTATATAGAATTACTCCAATTGCCGGAGATTAGGTCTTAGTATGTTTAAACATGCTACGTTTTCTTTAAGCTTGTTCTGTCCGATACTTCATCAAAGCCAGAATGTATATAAAAGATACATGTAACTGTGACACAGCAAAATAACAAAATAGAGAGAGAGAAAAAAAAAACTATTTGAAAAGCGTCTTAACATGGGAAATTTGGCGAGATATTCACAGCATCGTGCCTCATACTGTGTGTTAACTGACTCATTCTATAAAGTAGAAAGAATAACTTTCAGTTTCTTAAATAAAGTGGCATACGTTCAACGGAAGAAAAAAAGAATTTCATTTTGAATTCTTAATACATGTATGAGTTTTGTTGATAGATACATTGAATTCTTCTTTTTATGTATGGGTATATTTTTATAGGTCAATCCTTTGCAATACTTCGGCTAATATGTACATGAAGGTTATTTACTTTCCTACCTTAATGTAGCACTGTGAGGAATTTCTCTGAGGAACCACAAACTCCAGCGGTGTATAAAATGCGTGGTATACCTAAAATTCATATTTTGTTAGTATGAAGCAATTAAGTATTAAAAATATACATACTGGCACATTAATAAAAGGAGATATAAGGAGATATCAAAAGTCTAGTGAACCAAACTTGGCTTCTACACTTATTTAAATTTCATTTTCCCACTAATTTTATTTAATGTGCACAACCAAGGCAAAGTTCTGTATAAGTTTATCATTTCTAGCTATCTACTAGCTGCTTTTCCTCCCTTGTTTCTAAAACAGAGACTAATGTTATCTATCTTCAAAGTTTGTTTTAAAGAGGCAGCAGACAAAATGCCGATATCAGGTCTGCTGGACAAACTGTTGACAATGAGGAGTTACCTCAGCTGTAGCTCATGTAAGCCAAACTACAGCACTTACGTCTTATCTTATTTAATATATTTACATGAACATGTATCAACATTATAAATTGCTCATAGAGAAAGAATGTTGCACGGTTTATTTTTCTTCATTTTTCCGTTTTCATCTCGTTAATGTTGTCCTTGTATTCCGTCGGAGACGCCTTCCCCAAAAGGACACTGATTTTAAATAAATATGCTTTTCCACGCATGCATTCTTTCTTTTACCACAATTGGAGTGATATTTTTAAACCTTAACGAAATAATTACATCTTTCACGATTTATCCTATTTCGAATACAAATTTCCTTCCCTTCAAGCAAATACGCAAACAGCACAATCTTAAAATATTTTAGCATGATAAGTAAAGTACACAGTTAACACCAGTATAAAATCAGCAATCATAAATGTTTAAATTAGTGAACGAACTAATCAAATTTTGCATAAACAGCGTGCAATATAGTAATGCATCTCCTATCCGGCAATGCAATTACTACCATTCGATTTCCTTAAACCAGAAACGATTCACTTACACATTTTAATGAGAAAAACCAAACATTTTTTTTATTCTGGAAAAAAAATCCAATGGATTATCTAGTACATTGACTGTTTAAAACATAATGGGCGATGCTATTATATAATCGTCCTTGAAATATCATTCTTTACATGATACAGCAAATATAAAACAAAGCATTACGCTATGTGAAACAAATCTTGCCATTGGTCAAAAAAGTAAACATGTGACTCAAAATGGAGAAACATTTCAATTTGTATGCAGAGCATAGCATTCGCAGTTTCAAGACTGAACCTGTTCTGACAATGGAATTTTAGCGTAATTGTTTTTATCTTTCCTCACATCATGAGAGAACGATTTTGACCATTTAAATGATTATTATTTTCCGTCAATTTCCGTTATTTGCGTTATAAATTATACAATCGGTACATGCTTACTTCTAATCAGCACTTTGACAGATGCACAAACTTTAGAAATAATGAACTCTCTTGTAATATTTGAACAGCTGATCTCTATTATTCAATTCAAACAGAAAAATCATTGGTCTCAGACAAGTCTGAAAACACAGTCTAAGAATTCATAGCTCAGTAGCCTTGTTCTCTAAATCTATCATTGCCTGGACAGGGGCTAACTTATAACATCTAATCACAGCCCTAAGTCATATAACAACCAAGGCTAGAGGAAAAAACAGTAATTAGCTGGTCATGTATAGAAACTATTGACAGCCCCTGGCTCTAAAAGTCTGAAGTTTAGGATAGAATCAATGATCTAACCTCTGGTTACTCTGGCTATAAAGGTGAGTTGGATTATTTAGTCAGTATTTCCGTCTTCTTTCGGACAGGGAAAATAAATTCATTTTCTTTGAAGTTGAAAACTGTGTATTTATTTTAGTAAACATTTGATCATTTCAAAGCAACTTTGATACATAATCTATTTCTATTATAACTTTCAGTATATCATTTTCATCCTAGCAATTCAGCACTTTCCATCACATTTCATACAGAATAGCCCTCTTTTGATTCTGGTGTCGGGGTCGTCGCCTTGTCTATCGCTCATGTCACCACTGGCTACGCCGTGTAAGACGTCAATAAATGCGCCCTTGAGTTGACGGACTCCCGCGGTGTCTGTTTACTTGGTGTGACAATTTCTCACATCGCAGCCTCAGAAGCAGTGGATCTATTTTATTGACTATGTCGCATTGTTGTTAATTAGAGCACGTAATAGCGTTCTCATTGATTGTCATATTAAACAGATAAAGTTCAGAAACATTCTGCACTCAATGTTTGACATCAAACAAACATGCGCTGAAGTGCACAGCTAGCATTCCACTCGTTAACTGACAAGGCCCGACATCCAATAGTTATGTAAAAGGGAAGTCTTTGACAAAATTACATAAACAAATGAATTAAGTTTCATTTAGTGATAAGTCTGCAATTATTAAACTAAAAAAAAAAATTCAGAAATTTAAAATTAAATTATTTCTGTTTTAGATATGCATTAAACTTTACAGTGGTCTTCCATATAATTCTTCCTTTATTGTGCAGTTTACTTTTTATCACACAATTCTTTATTGTACATTGTTATACCCTTATAAATATCCTTCTATATATTTATTACTAATAAAAAGTCCAACAAAAGAAATGTTTATTACATCGATCTAACAATTTCACTGTGGACTGGCCTGCCGGTCCAACATAACAATTGTTAGACCGCAACGTCACTGCTACGTCACAAGTAATTAATCATCGTTCAATATCGGCGACACGGAAATAGCCGAAGTTAAGAGCTGCAGGAGTTGTTGCTACCAGCAAGGTAAGGAAGAAGGGAAGAGTATGTCTTGTAATAAATATTTTTTGTGATATAATATATATATTTTTGTTCTTTCTCAGCTATTGTTCTATATTTACTGATTAAGCCATAATATTCCATATAAAGTAATTGATAATATAATGTGTATTGATTAAATCTTAAGTAAGCACTGAAGAGTATAACAAAACAGTTATAGACTGGGATTCGAGCAACTTATGATTTGTTTGACCTGAAGGTGAAAATGTTGCCATTGGCCTGCGGCCTCGGGCAACATTTTCACCTTCAGGTCCAACAAATCATATGTTGCCCTCATACCCAGTCAATAACTGTATATTATTACATGTACTTTATTGTAAATATTTCTTCATTGTGAAGCATTCCTTTGTGAACAATATCCTTTTTTTGTTGCAGCATTGTACATCATCTCTTTAATGAGCAGCATTCCTCAATTGTCAATATACCTTCATTGTAAAGAATTTTACTATTATACAATGTGTTTTAATTGTGTATTACATGTACAATGTCCTTTTTCATTGTGAAGAATCTTTTTTTAACTATATATCTCTTGATTGCTGCGTTCCTGCATTGTACAACTTCTCCTTATTAAGTACAAAGTAGCATCTCTCTGTTGTACAATTCTCTATTGTGAGCATTCCTCTATTGATTTTGTAGGATTCCTTTATTGCAAAATATCTCGACTATAATGCAAAATTCCTCTGCTGTCATATATCCCTTTATTCCGAAACTTTCCTATATTGTACAATATCTTTTCACTGAGTAGTAACATTCCTCTATTACATATATTCAGTATCTATTTATTGAAAGTACACCTTTCTTGCACAGTTCTCTTTTAATAAAGCAATCTTCTATTGTTCAATATTTCTTTATTATGAAGCATTCCTCTGTTGTCCAACATCTCTTTATTGTAAAACCGTTCACGGTAGCCTAGTGGTAGAGCGTTCGCTTCGTGATCGGGAGGCCCGGGTTCGATTCTCGTTCCCGGCGCCGCGTCAATCCTAAGACGTAAAAATAGGTAGTGACTGTTTCTTCGCCAAGCGCTCGGCATCAGAAGTGAAAGTCACGGGTCTTTCGGATATGACCTTAAAAACGTAGGTCCCGTGTCACGGTAGGCGCTGGCACGATAAAGAACCCTCACTGCTCAATGGCCCTGAGTGCCGAGCATAGGTCTAAATTAAGGGCTGGGCAAAAATATCGATATTTCAATATATTGCAATACAATGACAAAAAATATCGTATTGCAATACGTTTTTGTAATATCGATATATCGGCAAAATTCTAAGACTAAGGAAATTTAACATTAAACATAAAAATAAATATAGAAAGGCTTGTTGTGAAGTCAAATAGTAAGACACAAACTGTTTTATGGTTGTATTTCAGAGCACAACTTTACAAAAATCAACAAGATTTTTTTTCTTTGGGTTACTTATCATAGTTATGTACATTCTGCATATAAATTAAAGTTAATTTAAGAAGAAAATGCCATTTTATTTTCACTTAAATATTGCAATACATATCGCAATACAGTTAAAAATATCGCAATATATCGCAATACGAAATCTCTAGCCAATACCCAGCCCTATCTAAATTTGAAGCCCTTCACCGGCAAACGGTGACGTCTCCATATAAGTGAAAAATTCTCGAGAGGGACGTTATACAATATACAATCAATCAATCTTTATTGTAAAAAATTCCTCCATTGTCCAATATCTCTTTATTATAAAGCATTCCCCTATTGTTCAATATTTCTTTATTGTTAAATATCCTCCATTGTACAATATCTTTATATTGTGAAACTTTCCTCTATTGTACAACAGCTTCTCTATTATAAAGCATTCTTCTATTTTACAATTTTTTTTATTATGAAGCATTCCTCTTTTGTTCAATATCCCCTTATTGTGAAACATTCCTCTATTGACTAATATTTCTTTATTACGAGGGCCGTTAAAAAATTATGCGGGCTTGTTGCACAGAAAAAATATTTGACAACATAATAGTGCAAAATGTCACACATAATATAAAAGTTTCTTTAGTTATATGGTCTTCAAAATTTCATATCAAAATGTTGTTAATTGATATCAATTTTGGGTGAATTATAAGGACATATCATTAAGTCAGGGGGCAGCAAAATCTTCGACATCATGGACATTATAAAAAAAACTTTCATTTTCTTAACATGTTCCCAAGAGTTCCTGTACAGTTTGAGTACCTTATCTACTCAAAACCCAAACACCATTTCTTGTCAAGCTTAAAATCGATAAAACAAGTAAAGCATATTCTTTTTTGTTTCAAACCAAAAAC